TCTTCACTCATTAGTGTTCAAGGCCTCAAACCTGTTCCTGAGATGGTTCTGAAATTCAGGTGGGATAGACTCACGGTCATATTTTGGTTGCCTTGGATTTGGTTTAATTTTCCTCAACTTCAAGGTTACTGCCACTTAATTAGTCGAGTTGCCTCTATCCTTGTCCACTGCTGTCTGTTCCTTCTATCTGGGAGCAGGAAGATGTCAAGGCTATCATGTTAAAAACAGGTCACCCACCATATTAATCCTTGCTTATACCCCTGAAAAGTCTCTCTTTCACTTAGGGTAAAAGCCAAAGTTTTTACAATACCCCATAATGTCCCAAAGGTTCTTCCTCTCTCATTACCTGTCACTCTCTTCCCTTGCTGCACTGTCTACCTCACTGATGTGGTTCAACTCACACTTGCCAATCTACTCTTTCAGGTAGAAACCCTTCTGTCTGGGATGCTCTTCCTATAGATAACACCAGGCTCCTCTTACCTCAAAGTTACTGCTCAAGTGATACTTTCTCAGTCTGTGTATCTTGATTATGCCAATTAAACTCAAACTGCTACATGCCCCAATCCTTGGTGCTCCCAAGCCCTTGTAATTTATGAGTTAGCTCTTATTAATTTTGACTCTTGGAGGTTCCATGTGTTTCAGATTAGAACTACACTTCAACGGTTTTCACCAGACCTTCCTTTCAAAGTGCCTCAAGCTGGATTCAACCTGCCAATTTTTCAGTTAGTAACTGAGCACTTAAGGGTCTACAAACTCCTTAAGCCTGCTTTCATTTTTTCAGAGCACTTATTTGCCAACCACAATATACACTTTACTTGTCTATTATACTTGTCTGTTTTCCTTCACTAGAATATAAGCTCCACAAGACCAAGAACTATTGTTCACTTTGTTGAATAAAGTAATCTTGACACCCAGAACAGTGCTAGGTATTCACTTAATAGATACTTATAGAGTAAATAAATGAGTAACATTTTACTAAATTTATTTATAAATATAGGAGTTCTGGCAGCCTGGGGCAAGAAGCTGCGCTGCAATTCTGAGGGCATATGGTTCAAGGCCACCAGCTGCTCGGTGGAAGAAAGAAAGGCAATCTCCCGTGTAATTAACTGTCTCTGAAAACCCACCAGAGAATAAGCTATGGGCTGTTCCAACTCCAAGGTACATAACAACATTTATAAATAAAATCACCTTCTCCCTATTAGACCGATATTTCAGAGGCAAGGAAATGTATTATCTTTCTGGGCCCTTAAAAAAAGTCAGGGAGCCAGGGAGCCAAGCCTCTAGTAGCCTAGTGGGTAAGGAGTTGCATTGCCAACCCAAGGGCAAATGTTTCAAATCCACCACTTTTTCCGGGGGAGAAAAACAATCTCCTCCCGAATGATTTACTGCTACTGAAAAGGTGTGGGAGGGTCAGTTATGAGACAATTGAGTGAGTGAGTAATAAACGTTAGCTGACTGAACAAGTAATGGCCTATGTCAAAACAAGGATCTGAAAATGAACTGCGTATGTTTGAGGTACAGGGGCGTAAAGTTATTAGATATAAGCAAACAGCCCATGATAGAGAATCAAAATAGACATGAGTGAAATAACTTCAAGATGAAAGAGAGTGCCACAAGAAAGACTTTAGTTGGTCAAACTGAATACAATATAAGGAGCAACAAGCTGCTCCTGGAAGGTGCCACTTCTTCATCCTCAAATAAAAAACAAATTCAATGAGAATATTTAGTGGGGTTCTACCATCTGAAACTTCTAACCTGTGGAACTGTAGTCTCCAAGTTGTAGTGCTTATTCAGGAACTTCAGCAGCTTCTGTGAAGGTCGATCAATAGCCAGTTGGTGTGGTTCAACTCGTTCCTTCTGCAAGAAGGGGAGGCTCAAGATAGGTGTGAGGAGTGGGAATAATGGAGGACAAGGGGGCACGGGAGGTGGGGGAGAACCAGGGCCTTTGGAAAGGTTCAGGCCATAGGGGACTTTTAGCTCCATTTTTGGACAGACCCTGAAAAAAGATATATGATACCTGCAACATATGCTGGAAGAGTTCTCGCCCATGGCCATGACGTTGAAGTGACTCGTGGATATAAAAGTCCAAGATACAAAGTGGTTCTACCTCATTGTGAGCTTCACGATCATCCTAACAGGTATAGAATAATAAACATCTTTCAGAACCCTCGCATTGTTCTGCTGCCTCCTCACACCCTTTTGAGTCTCAAGAACAAAAGTGTGTAAAGGACAAAACATACCAAGACAAAGAGCTTCTTGTATCCAACTTTGAGAAAACCAATAATGGCTCCTTTTCCAGCCCTGTAGGAGGCAGTACATAATAAACAAGCTGGTAGCAGTTATTTAGAAGCGGTTGAGCCCAAAAGGGAGAATCAGGTAGAGAAAGGAATTAAGTATGAACATTTGGCACTCACGGTCGGGCTGATGTGTCTTTGAGCACATACATGACGTGGCGGTTACTCTGCATCCTCGATGCACTAGTGATGGGAGCAGGAAGATGCTGGGCCTACCAAGATGACAGTTTCTGCAAATCCCTCTCCAAAGACCTAGTGACCTTTTCTGTCGTCAGAAAACCCCCACCTCTCCATCTTAAGAATTCCCAATACCTTGGCAGAAGCCTTGCCCAGCTCATCTACAATGGTCATAATTTGCTGCTGCAGATCAACACTACAGAAAGAGAAGAGATAGTCAGATACTCACTGAATTAGAAAGTCCTGGGCAGTTACTCTCTGGGACCCGACTCCAGCCTAAATTCAGCACTTGGTGTCTTCCAACTTGATTCTTCACTCCAACCCTCCCAATCCAAACTTTTGCCACACCTCCTCCCAAAGTGCTACATTCCCTCCTCCCTGGAGGTTATAGGGGGAGTGAAGCAGGAAGGGCGGGTCAACCACATCTTTTGGATGGGACCACGTAATGGGCAATGGGATAAAAGATCTCAGATCCAAGTACTGATAAACATCCTTAAGCCTAGGGTCAAGGGTTCTCAAAAGAGCAGGCCTGGACATCAAAAGGAGGGGTCACTAATCAGACCGAGGGGGCGTGGTCCCTAAATCAGATTTCAAGAAAGATAAGGAGAAGGGCCGTGGGGCGGTTATGAAATGTCACCGGGCCGGCGTTGTGGTTCCGGGTCGGCGGGCCGGGGGCCGCAAGTGCTGATCCAGCACCGTGATCCGCTCCGGGAGCAGCGCGTCCACATCGAAAGGGAACTCCATGGCCCATTGTGCGCGACAGCCCCGCCCAGCAGACGTCACTTCCGCCCCGCCCTCGAAGCTTTACTTCCCGCGGCTTCAACAGGCGGGGTCAAGATCCTGCCTTCCTGAAGGACTTGTGCTAGCACCCTGGCCTCTGAGACCTCACTCTTCTTGCCAAGCCTGATGTCCCCTTAATATCCTCTCTCCACTGCCGCATGGGGTGCCACAGTGCCCCATTTTTGCTTGGCTTAATGATGGTAGTACAGTGGCCCGCAAGTGATTGGACAGCATCACACAGCTGCTTGTCCCAGGAGCAGAGCCTCTAGTCTCAATTCTCTCCACACAGGATCATCTTATACCTTTACTTACATGGAGAAAACTCCCCAAACCAAGTAATATTTCTAAGTACAAAGCTCAGACCAATGCAAGTCAGAAACGCAGCTTTATTTTTGAAAAGTTAAACTGACAGAAGTCTTGAAATAGCAACAGAATGTCTTACCCATCACCTTTACATCTATTTACAGTAGGGGAGTGAGGCTTCCCATAACCACACAGTCTTCAGTTTCAGGGGTTTTTTTTGTTTTTTTTTTTTTCTATATTTTATTAACATTTCTTTCCTTTGGCTCTGGGCCTGACACTGGTCACAAAACGGGCATATATTTTAGGGTAACCGGGACTATCATCTGTTCTTCAGCACCATGTGCAAGGCGCCTCCAAATCTGCTGCTGTTCCTAAGGGACACCCGAGGAAGTTTTAGCTGGAGCTGTGTGGGGCACCTCTGGCATTGTTTCAGGCGGGGGTCCACTCTCCTCGAGGAGATGGCCCTGGTAGAGCCGGCGTAGGCGGGACAGCTCTTTCTCTGGGGGTTGCTTCCAGCTGTACCATGGGTACCAGGAATCTCCTGAAACCAGAGTTGGAGCTGGTGGAGTACCACTCACAGCTCCATGAGATGTACTGAAGTCAAGGTCACGGGGTTCAACCTGTGGAATGTGGTAACTGAGGAGACCTAATTAAAAAAAAAAGAGACAGTAAGAAAACTGACTGGAGGAGTAAGGGGACAAATGTGGGCTGACACAGCCTGGGCACTGCCTGTCAAGTACGCAGCTCTGCACCACAGCCATGAAGCTGTACTGTTCCTCATGAGGGAATGGCTTTTTATAGATTGCACAAAGGTGTCCTCAAGTCTAACTCTGAGAAGAATGGGAATACCAGAACACTAGGTCGTGCTAATGAGAAACCTCTACTGGGAACAAGAGGCAGTCGTCAGAACAGAGAAAGGAAACACTGCACAGTTCAAACTTGGAAAGGGCGTATGCCAGGGATGTGTCCTGTCTCCATACCTTTTCAACCTGTATGCAGAACAGATTATCCGGGAGGCTGAGCTCTATGAGGAGAAATGTGGGGTCAAGATTGGTGGACGATCTATCAACAATCTGCGTTATGCAGATGACACAACCCTGGTTGCTGAAACTGAGGAGGACATGAAGCACCTGCTGCAGAGGGTCAAGGATTGCAGCCTCCAATATGGATTGAGGCTCAATGTCAAGAAGACAAAGATTCTCACCACTGGACCAATTGGCAGCAGCAGGATGGATGGTGAAGAGATTGAGATTGTTCACAGCTTTAGTTTGCTTGGCTCCACAGTCAACACTCTTGGCACCAGTAGCCAGGAAATTAAAAGGCGCATTGCCATGGGAAAATCTGCTGTTAGGGACCTCTCCAAAGTACTGAAGAGCAATGGTGTCTCTTTGGAGACTAAGGTGCATCTGATACAGGCCATGGTCTTTGCTATCACTTGTTATGCATCAGAGGGTTGGACAATGACTAAGGAGGATAAAAGGAGAATTGATGCCTTTGAGCTGTGGTGCTGGAGACAAGTACTGAGAGTACCATGGACTGCTAGGAAAACAAACAGATTCATCCTGGAAAGGGTCAAACCGGGCTGTGCTCCTTGGAGGCAAGGATTCTAAGGCTCTGTCTAACATACTTTAGACATGCTGCAAGGAGGGACTGGTCCTTGGAGAGGGACATCATGCTTGGTAGGGTGGAGGGACAGCGCAGAAGGGGAAGGCCCCCTATGAGGTGGACTGATTCAATGATTGGGATAATCGGGATTGCACAGGACAGAGCAGAGTTTAGGGCTGTTGTACATAGGGTCGCTATGAGTTGCAAGCGACTTGACGGCACATAACAACAACTCAATGCTCTAGCTATTGCCTTGAGAGCTTTCATTTGGCACTGACTCACAGCTGACCCGCCACTAGGTTTTCTGAAGCTCTGAATAACATGGGAGAAAACGGCCCATGCTTTTCTTTCAAGGCAGCTGGTGGGTTCAAACTGCCTGCCTCTGGGTTGGCAGCCCAATTCCCTACCTATTGGGCCACTAGAACTCCCTAATCTAGAGATCAGTAGTTGTATAATAAGAAAGAGGGTAAAGAAAAGAGTAAGGAGCAGTGAAACAGTGCAGCACACCAACCTACTTAATGTGGCCCTTCTAGTAAGTAATATCATGGAGAAAAAAGCCTGAAATTGTCAATAATCTCATCTTGCTTGGATCCACAGTCAATACCTTGGATACCAGCCGTCAGGAGATTGGGAGACATAACTTTCCAAGGTACTGAAAAACAGTGATCTAAGTTTAAACACTAAGATTTAATGACTTAAAGGTGTGTCTTTCTCAGTTCAGTCTTCCCAATCACCTGCTATGCATCTGAGAGCTTGACAATGAATAAGGCTGACCAAAGAATGGATGCCTTTAAAGTGGTATTGGAGAAGAGTACTGAATATCTCATGGACTGACAAAAGCAAACATGTATGTCTTAGAGAAAGTGCAATCAGAGTGGTCCTTGGAGGCAAAGATGGTGAGGCTTCATCTCACATATTCTGGACAGGCTGTCAGGAGAGGCTATACCTTGGAAAGGGACATCATGCTTAGAAAGGTGGACGGCCAGAGGAGGAGAGAAAAACCCTCTCTAAACAAGATGAACTGTGACTGTGAACAGTGACTGCGGCATGAGTTCAACTATGTTGGGGATAAGGATGATGCAGGATAGGACAGTTTTTAGATCTGTTGCTCACGGGTTGCTGTGAGTCACACTCAATGCAACTTCATGAGAAACTAGTCCCCACTGAGTTAATAGGCAACATGATAGATGGAGAAAAGACTGAAATTGTCAAAAACTGCATCTTACTTGGATCCATAATCAAGTCCCTTGATACCAGAAAATTATGTGTGCTTATAGCCCACTATGAAGACAAGATAATAGTGATGATAGAGATAATAATAATAATAAAAGTGCTGCATGGTTCCCTTGTGGAGGTGAGTTTATACAAATAAGGTTTATGGAACCCTAAGTAAGTCAGTTTCGCCATCCTGCTAGGCTTAAAATGAGACATTCCACAACTGGAGATGGGGACCTTACTACAATCAGAAGAGCCAAGAGTGGAGCATATCCTTTGGTTCTGGGTCCCTGTTGTGTTAGCCTCCTAGGTTTAGGACATGGAACCTAACCTGTAGGCAGCGGCAGTGGGCCTCACGGCCCACAGAATGAATGCTTTTAAGCTGGTGGTGTATTGGCAGAGTAAGGGATCATCATGCACTCCACAACCAGGCTCACCAAGATCTGTAACTCTCGGGCCATAGGCTTTTTGGGTCTTAGATCTTGGTGAGCCTGGTTGCGGAGTGCATGATGATCCCTTACTCTGCCAATACACCACCAGCTTAAAAGCATTCATTCTATGGCCCGAGAGTTACTGGTGTGTATCTGGACATTTACTGGCAGAACTAAGTACCTTTCTATTATTTGCCAGAGAGGTCAGAGGTCAGGCCAGTCCTAGAGGTCTCAGAGACCAGGGACGTGATGGCCAGAGAGGCCTGCTTCCAAACACAGACTAAAAAGGCTGTATTTTAAGAACAATATCCTGGGTTATTACTGGATCCTGAATATTAACCTATTACTTTCCTAATAAGTCCTATAATCTTAAACACTGCATAGCAACTGCAATTAATTATTAAACCAAGTAGAGCAATGCTTGTGAAATGGATTACTGGTGTCAGAAATAGTTCACTTACAGAAGGACAAATACTGCATAACACCTTTATAAACAGGACTGAGATAGTTGGAGTTGGGGGAAGAACAGGAAAAGAGTGGATAAAGAGGGAACACTGGAACAGATGACAGAAAGAACTGTTTAAAAGGAATATGTTGTTCTCGAGTTGGAACCGACACATAGCTGATACTCAAGCAAGTTTTCAGAGGTAGTTAAGTGCACAGGAGGAGACTGTATAATCCAGAAAAAGAGGTATATTACAAAGTGGACTGGAAGAAAGTGAAAGGAAGGAAAATGCAACAATGAATGAATTTAAAAAAAAAAAAAAGAAGAAACAAAACAAAAATGTCTCGGGAGGAGGTATGTCTGATAACTTGCCTCACAAGAATCAAATTGGAGCTACTGATCTTAATTCTTTCCCTTGTAAAGACAGAGCAGGTCAGATGCTTCTGCCATGTCATTGTTTACATAAAGAGATTAGGAGAGAAGGCAAGGGATGACAGAATGAAGACAGAAAATCTAGCAAAAATATAACAGGTACTATGTGGTGCTGGAGAAGAGTACTGAGTATATTACAGACCACTAAGAGAACAAACAGGTTTGTCCTAGGGAGGATGAAACCAGGCTGCTCCTTGAAGGCAAGGATTCTGAA